TTCGTTTTATGGATTTTATTTTTTGGCTTTGGATTGACAAACAGAATGTGCCTGGATATTGAATGCACGAGAATGTGTTGTATGTATGTACATATGTACATACATACATGTGTGGGCCTGGACCATTGTGCAGACTTAATGATATGGGCCGAAAACCAGCCCCACCCAATAACACACACTCCTATGTTCACCACAATGCATTGTTGGTAGCATCTCGCTGTATTCTGCCATGGCAATAGATAACAAGAGTTAAAGTTTAGTTCTGGGACCGAAATGTAAGTACTCTTTCAAAGCTTTACGTCTTTTAAAGGGGGTTCTATCACTCCTAACAACAATTAACACTTTCTGTCTAGCTGTTAAAAAAAAATAGAAAACAAACTTTATTTTATGTAATTCTTAATTCTATTTATTGTTTAGAGCAGCGATTAGATGAAAACCTCTACTATTTCGCACTTTATTTTTTGTTTGTTACCATATATTGAAAGGTAAATTTTTATCATCTAAGTTTATGATTGAAAAAAATATGAGTTATGGTGTTGCCCGTTTAAATTCCCATACAGCCTTATGCCCTATCCACCTACCCGGGTCTGTAAAACTGCAACAGACTTATAAAGATTATAATAATATAAACTATAATATAAACTCACAGATTTTGGTATTATAGCGTCAGCAGGACCGCATGTAGGCTGTTTAGTTAGAACTGTAGGTTAGGTACTTTTTCAGGTGCTACTTAATTGGCTCTAACTATTTCTATCTTGGTGGTTATAAATATTTTAGCCATAATAGGAAACAATTTTTTTATTTAAGATACTTGAAAATGGCGTAAATGAAAAAAATACTGTGACCAGTTGAATCTGAGAAGCGAAGTGGTCCACGTTTCTCTGCCAATTTCTTTTGCCCCTGTAAGAGTATAAAAAGCTAGGAGCTGGAGGGGCAGCAGCCAAGTGGTCAGACCTCGTCGACAAACAAAATGCCAAGGAAAAGGGACAATCTGGGGGCAGCCTCAAGTGCCTTGGATTTGCATGTGGCCCAAAGGGGAGGGCCATGGTTGCTACATGAATTTGATGCTCCCATATCCTGTGTGTTTGTGTGTGAATGCGGGGAGATACCGGGCTCATCTGTCGCTTTTATCGGTTTATATCAATGCACTAGGATGCTTGTCGCCCAATACACTAAGCATTCAAAATTCGATAGTGACCCAAATGGACCAGAATATTAGATGTATAGAAGCTTCCACTCACTTTTGCATCCCCATCTGCCCTATTTGACAACAATTCGCATTGTACTTCCCCCAGTCAGCTTCTTTCGGCTTTCCCTGGCACACCGCTGGTAATTGAATAGAAAATGACAATGGAAATTGAATCGAAGTATTTGTTATAATTTGGAAACGCTTGGCTCTCGGTTTAATGGATTGTGAAAGCTTTCCATGATGCTCAGATGGCTTACTTTGTATTTTGAGGGTCTACTATACATAGATTTTGGATTAAGTCTTGCATGTTTTCTTCCAAAATGTGTTTCTTTTTATACCCGGTACTCATAGATTACAGGCGTATATTGTATGTAGTCGTAAGATGGTATGTAATATAATATATATCAGACCTCATAAAGTATATATATTCTCGTACAGCACCGAAAGCCGTGTCTATATAGCTATGTCCGTAGGATCTTAGACTCTATAAGAGAAAGCTGTAGGATTTGGCATGGAGACTACTACAATGTCCAGGCAGTTCAAGTATGTTTCGAATTTTTGCCACGCTCCCTCTTGCCCACAGAAATCGAATTTCGCGAACTTGAACTTGTATGGTACCCGAGTATAACCGGGTATAACATAGTCGGGAAACTGGACTGGAGTCGGGAAAATAGTCTTCCCTTCTTGTTTGTTTTTGGAGAAGGACTCAAATATTAAACTTAAATATGTGATTTAATCATTTTGTAACGCCAGTTCAGAAAATGCTTTTGATAAAGGGTTTTGGCTAATCTATTCCAAAACCGACATTTTCAATTAAGAAACAATTAGGTCAAATCAAACGGATTTAAGATTTTAATTTTAGCTTCAGTGGATTGTTCTAAACCCGAAGCATGTATGAAACAACATTTTATTCTAATCTATTCCAAAACCGACATTTTCAATTAAGAAACAATTAAGTCAAATCAAACGGATTTAAGATTTTAATTTTAGTTTCAGTGGATTGTTCTAAACCCGAAGCATGTATAAAACAACATTTTATTTTCAGAATTAATTTATAAAAATGATCGAAGTTACAAATAACTTCGTATGAAAGTAAGGGCGAGGAGTGAAAGGAGCTAGAACCAGGTATTATGATACCATAGCTTATAGATAAAGATCTTTACTTTGTAAATTCATTAAAGTTAAAAAATTTAAAAATTTTACATTTTACCTACGTTTTTGTATCCAAAAGCAGCTTCCTTATTATTCAAAGTTATTCCACCTCAAAAGTCCCACTTAATTTGTGACAAAGCTGCAGATAGAACACCATTTTGTTTAAAATTCCCCCATTCATGAGACCGACACCGAAAATAAGTTTAATTATTCCACTTGGACTTCCGACTAATCTCATTTTTGGTCCCTGGCAAGTGGAGTTCTTGTGCATTTTCATAGATGAACTTTTCGGCTTCCAATTAACAAATTTGGCCAGCAACTTGCCAGGACACCTTGGATGGGAGGTATGTGTATAAATATTTTAAAATTTCTTTCGTTAAATTGGCATTGTTGGACCGAGCAACTTTCCATCTTAGCCTGACAACTTGCCGAAATGTGCGGCATAGGAAACTTCTTGCCTTGACATTTATTGCCACAGACAGGACCAAGGCAGCCGGAGGAGCGGTGCCACCTCCTTCTCGAGCCCGAAATTCTCCTCAGGGGGCGGAATATTAATTTGATAATTTTACGGTTGAATGCAAATTCGGTGTCAGAGTCCTTTGCTCTCTAATTGACTGACGAATATTTAAAATATGAATTTCAGATGAGGACGAAGTTCAACAATTGTCTGCCGGCCCGCTTGCTTTTTTTCCTCTCCGCCCTTTTTAAGTTGGATTAATTATGGAACTGCTAGAGCTGAAGCTGAGCGTCTTATATCTCGTTGGGGTATTAATCATGTGAAAGTAATTTTGCCCATTTGCATGCGTTGCAGAAACGATAATCTTCATCCATCATTTTCAAGTGTTTCCGCAGGATTATAGTAGGGCTGCAGCGCTGCAAGGATCCGCAGGGTCTGGCATCAACTGCGTCGCCTTGTTGTACCCTTTCCGGGCGAGCGTGTGTGTGGGGATTCCCCTCATTATCCTGCGTCGTGTCGTCGTCAATTATTCTTGTTCTACAGACTGCCAGCAACTGGCAGAACTTTGCATTTAGTTGATGAGCTTCTCCCATATCCCAACTCCTACTTTTGGCCGATACAGCTCAGCTCCATCTCCTCCTGGCTTGGTCTTTTGTGCTTCGGCTTTCATCTTTCGGCTGACTGCCAGTTGATCAATGGCTCTGCCCGTTTTCCATGGTGTTGCCATGCAATTACGAATTTATATTACGTATACGCCATGTGGAAGCGACTGGGGAAGGGCCCTGTCTTCCTCTCCCTTCCTTGCCACAACTGCAGCAATAATGAACCATGAGCGGCCCCTCGAATGCCTGGCAGCTTGTGGCCTGGCTTGAACATGGCAAGCAATGATAGCCAAATAATTTCCGATTGATTCTACCATAAATTATGGCCCCCTTTTAAAGGGGTGTCTGTTTAAAGTAGTTGTTGTGCTGGGAACTACAATTTTATTACAAAAGGTAGACACATTTATTTATAAATTAGTATTATAAAATTATTTTATATCTGTATCTGTTTCATTTCTCATTACTACGCATAAGTGAGCCATCTGGGAACCGCAGAAAGATGGGGATCTGCGTAGCAGATGTCGTCGCTTTTGGCACACATCTCGTTGCCCATTTATTTGCCTGGGAATGCGACGGCTGCCAGATGTTAGCCAAAAGTGCGAAAGTATCGCGCGTACGATGAGCTGCCGTTTATTCAATTTTTGGGAAACCGACCTATGTTTAATTGGATTTGCTACTAAGCGGAATTAGAACTCTCCGGGGGCAAGAGGATGTGTGAGAATTATGTATATTTGAACATAGTCGAGCTGGGGTAAAACACTTGAAAATCTAAAAACTCGAAAAATATCTTTTTCCTACTTTAATTATTTAACTTTTAATGAATGTTATAGTTTTTCGAATATTAATGTTAAATGTTATTAGTCTAACAGTTAACAAAAATATGAAAGTACTTTTTTGACGTGCATCTTTCAGGCGACAAGAAGCAAGTGTAAATTTCACTTGAACTGATAATTTCACTCAATTTGTGTGCGCTGATGAGCAAAGTTTTCCCATTTGCAAGGGACTACGTGTGCCACCTTTACAGGCCCCCGGCTTTTTCGACCCACCACCGCCAAACTCTCAGCTCCCGGCCCACAAACACCAGTGCAAGTTTTCATCTTTTCGTTCTCCTTCATCTACTGATGCTCCTCCTGAGCTGATTTCTTTTTTGACTACGACGTCGCTGACTTGAAGGTGCCAATTAGGGATTTCCGCCTCAATTACTTTTGCGAGCGCACGAAAACCAAGTTTGTATGATTTTCGCATGACAGACTCGGGGCTTACCTCCACTCCCGCCCAGGGAGTACCTGCTTCCTTTCACGGAGCACCCACTTCCTTTAAAATGTAATTGCACGGAGGGTGTCCCCAAGTGAGGGGCTGTGCGTGATAAAAAAAAAAGTCTGATTTGCATTTTACATTCCATCTGGAGGTGGAAGAAGATGAAATAGTTCATGTGGCTTTCCAAGAATGAGTTCCTGGCTCAGTGATTGGTTTGCCGAGCACGTTAATGTAATGGAAATATGTGTGCAATGAAGTATTTAAACTATCGGGAAGTGAAACACAGTGATTTTTTTTATTGTTTGAGATCAGTAAAATTGCGTAACAAAATTTAGAATTTATTTTACGACAGTGTTCCATAAATTTTCATTACAAAAGTACGAACTCTGGACCGAAACCAAGTCGTCTCAAAGAGGTAGTCCCCTTCCGGAAAGGGCAGAATTTTTGTCATTCGGTGGTTCATTATGTCGATGGAAAGTTTTTCCATTATGAGGTCATGCTTAAATGAAATACTTCATCCAATAATTTGTATGAAATAGTTGCCATACTCACATTAAACGGACACGAGTGATTGAGATTCGAGTATCTCTGATATGATTCGAACACGAAATTCGCCACTGGGTTCGACTTTCGGTTGTTTATGAATTTGCAAAAGTCCACTGTTATGTTGTAGAGAAAAGGCTTGTATCCATTGTACCTTTTCCACATCACCAAGTTTATCTAATGCGCAAGACAAGTTTCAAAAAAATTTCATATATTATGGCATTTTTTGATTACCTTAATTATACTAATGGGCAGTTGATAGAGTTGCAGTTTGGCAGAGAAGTACTTGTAACTGCGATTCACCGATTTCAAAAAACAATATTCGAATTCTCCGAATTTCTTGTCAAATGAACTGCAATTCACATTTGTGAACTCGAATCGGCAATCCCCCTAAATAATTATCAGCCGTTTAATTTTTTTAATAGCGTTTTATAAACTTTTTATCATACTTTCATGGTCAAATTCGCAATGCCAATAAAAAGCATTACAAAATAGGGCATGCAGCACATATTGTATTACTGGTAGTCCAAAAAACACTGACATTCGTAAAAAACATTCATTCGTAAAAAATGGATAGTAATCACATCTAATGCAATTTAAAACAGCTTAGAATTATTTTTCCTAATTACTGTTTAGGTAAATTTTTCAACATGTAAAGTGTGTTATAATTGTGCTAGTCCCACCGTTGGAAAATACCTCTGTCACTTGCATGATGGGATATTACTAAGTTTTTATAATTATTAGTTTATAAATTATTTTACATAAATATACATTTTGTATAATTATTACAATTATGTATGTACCAAATGTAAATGATTCTTCCAGTAAATAAATTTATACCAGCACTATTTTGTTTAGTTAGACCCCAAGTCCCGCTTAGTCACCCTCAAAATTCGGTCGAAAAATTACATTATAGTTAAATTCAAACTCTCCAAGTTGAAGTCTGACTAACACATCAAACTTGGTATATTATGGCTGATTACTAATTAATACTGGAGGAGCATACATTTTACTCTAATTTAATTATATTCGACTGACCCAGAAGGGGGAGAGCTATGTAACCAGTATCTAGAGCCTCGGATTCGTTGGCTCCCTTTCCAAACACATCAAGCTGAGAGCCTTTCAAATCAACATCAATATCGGGCTAACGACAAAGACCACCTTTTGTCAAGTCATTCTAAAAGGCCTGCAAACCGAGCTAAGCACTTAACAATATTGCATTGCAACCAAAGCCCAGGCGGAGTGGTTAGATCGAAGAGGAATTATTTGTTGGCCGGAGGGGGGGGGCCAAAGTGTGTGACGATTTGGGATTGAACTCTTGTCTGTAGGTCCTTCGTCCGCCACCCAACTCGTCCTGGGCCCGCTCGTCATCCTCCTGCTTAAGTGTAATTAAATACACCCGACTCCTCCCCTCCAAAGATTGGTTCTCATCAAATGGATTGATTTATGATGATACCTCTCCCGCCCGACGAGGCATGACATAATAAATCGCCATGTCCTGGCTCCCTTGCCGGCTCCCTTGCAATGACAGCCACAGCGCCCCGGCACACATGAGCCAGGGCCAGATTCGAAAATTAATTTGCTAAAACTTTTGCCAGCTCAACTCTCAAATCTCGCATCTCACATTTCGCATTCTATGCGCAGTATTTATATTTATTATTTAATTTCGCTCGCTGCTGTGTACTTTTGCGCATTTTCATGCTCGACTGCCGCTGCCTTTTCTTGTGTTGACGGCAAAGTTTAATTTTTATTGTTGTTTGACTTTGTTAAATGATTTTTATTGCCTTTCTTCGGGAGCCGCCGGGCCATACGGTCCATGAGCTCGGGCAGAGGGCCAGGAAAGAAGCCTTTGTAGGAATTTAATAAAACTGCTGTGACCATATTGCCGGGAAAACAGTGCACAAAGCTCCGATTTCTTTTTTTTATCAGCGGACATCAGGCCGATCCCCAGCCAACCCAACAGGAGCCACTCCTTCGTGTCCTTATTGCGCTTGAATTTATAGAAGTCCCCAGTCGAGATTGACGGTTCGGCTTGAGCTGTGGGAGTCATTTGATTGCAATGTACATACTTGCGATTTGTAAAATACTTCACCCAGACAACCACAAGTTATGAGCGTCTTGGGAAAGCTCTGAAAGGCAGCCTCGGTGGAAAACCACAACAAAGCGGGTCTAGGATATGCTCCCAGAAAAGTTTACTTATAAGAGGCAAGTTGTTGTCTCTATGTAGCATGTATTAAAAACTTAATAAATATACACTTCATTTAAAAAAAATATTGAAACAACAAAAAAAGTGAAGTTAGTATTTATTTTAAATAATTAAACAGTTACTTTTTATTTATAAATTTTTGTAAACATTTCAAACAAAGTTTTTCCATCATTTTTTGTTTAGTATCAAGACCTTAAGTGTATCTTGAATGACAACCCGGACTCCATTACCCGAAAAACTTGGCGTCACCGCAAAAAGGTGCTTCTTAAGTCTGCGAGCCTCCTCAAAGGAGCTTGAAAGGGTTCGCAGAATATTTCATTAAATATGAGGGATTGGATGGTTTCCTCTGAGCTTTGATCTTTCTCGCTTCAAATAATTGACTGAAATGTGGTTTTTACCAAAAATTATTTTGTAAAGGTCTTGAAAGGACTGTCGGCCATTAAAGGTGCCAGTTTCCATCTCATGTGGCTGGGATATCCGTAACCATCAATTTGTCTGTCCGCGAACGAACCACGGGAATGATTAATTGCACTTTGCTGGAATCCAATTCGAGTCCTTGTCAAATGAATTGCATAATCATCTGTCAATTACAGGGCTGTCAAATCGCTGCCAGTCGGTGCGTCGTAGTTCGATGCTGAACTCAACAAATTGGAATGGGTCATGAATGGCTGGCAAGCGCACGAGGCCCGGATTAGAAGGGCATCTCCCATGGACGGGATGCATTTGTGTCAACTCGATTGTTATGGATGTTTGCACTAGTGAGCGGTATATCTTTTTCAATACCCGCCCCTACGACTGCGCCGTTGCCGTCCCATTTACCCAACGATTGTCCGGAGAAGGACATTGTACGCATTGCGTCACTGTGAGAGATACGCCCATTGTTCGGTGAAACAAAGCCAAGCTCTGCGACATTGTGCCTCTTGTGAGCCTTTTGCTTTGCTTCAGCTCTGGCCTCATAGTTTTAATCTCACTAATGGCAGTGGCAGCCGAACGCAAAAACAAAAAATAAAAAGTGCAAATGTTACTAACCCCGGGGGCGTGGGACTCTCAGTCTGTGGTTCCAAAGAAGCAGACCGCGTGCTCATGTCAGGAAGGTCCCTTGTTGCCCACGACATCTGAGTTCAGCATCCTCGGAGAGATTTGAAAAACAAAGGACAGTTCATGCGAGTACCTAGCTTTAGTGACATATCAGCTTATGATGAAGCTATACATACATAGTGCGCCATATTTAATTTGTAACACATCATGGGTATAATTTGCATGAAGAGCAATGCCCAAACCTAAATTTAATTAAACTATGGAATATCATCAAAATATTAAATATAACAAACACACTACAAAGAGATTAGTTCATAGTGACGCCTGTATAAGAGTTGTATACGATAGGCAGTCCCTTTAGCAGAGACCAGAACCACAGTCTTCGATGTCGCAAAAGATCGAGGCGCACCACCCCCGGATAAATAGCCTCAAAGTATAAGCCAAGTTTATAAGACATTTCGATCGAGTAGAAGCTCAGTGGTCGATTAAAATAAAAATAAATTAAAATAAAATGGTTACACTTTGTTTGGTCATTAAGCGTTTTCAATGCCGTAAGTAAAAGACGATTTTGTATTTAAATTGAACGTTATAAATGTTTATTTCTGCATGCAGATCAAGCCGGATGATCCGCAGATAGACCGGCTATGGTGCATGCAGGGACTCAAGTAAAATACAGCGAGGGCGGCCCGACTGGTCACTGCGAAGCTAAAGCTCTCGAATAATGGAGAGGGCGGCCCGACCTAGACACTGCGAGCTAAAACCTCTATGGAAAGCTTGTTGAGTCGAGCGGCCGAGAAAGAGTCGGCTTGCGATCAACAAAGCCTTTGTACAAACTTAAGCCTAATAAATATACATTACACTAATAATTACACTAAACATTACATAAACATTATTTAAAACATTATTTAAACATAAACATTAAACGCCGTGCGGCTGCTTGACCCGCATATTTAACTTTAAGTAAGTTACATTAGCCAAAATTAACAAAACTAAACTAATTTCTATCTTGTATATTGATTTATTTTGATCGAAATCTTACAAAGTAAGACATAACAGTGCATTTTTTAAACCATTTCCGATCGTTCAGTTATATAAAATATAGTCAGCCGATCGTTATGAAATTTGGTAGGTCGGATTAGCTTACCAAAAATAGAATCTGTACTAAGTTTCAGCTTTCTATCTTAGATTAACACGAAAGTTGGGTCATTTTCCATCGTTAAGTTATATGGCAGCTATAAGATATAGTCGGCCGATCCTTATGAAGTTTGGCATGTCGTATTGTTTTGCCAAAAATAGCTTTCGTGTCAAATTTGATCTATCTTTAAAAACATTAAAGTTATACCATTTCCGATCAATCAGTTATATGGCAGCTATAGGATATAGTCGGCCGATCCGCATCGTTCCGACTTATAAAGCAAAAATTTAGAAATTTAGTGTAAATAAGTTGCGTGCCGGTCCAGGCCGGGCCCGGGCCTTGGTGAAAAAGTTTCGTGTGCGGCCGGGCCGGGCCTCTCAAAAAAGATTTTGTTTTCGTGCGGACCCGGGCCTCAAAATACAGGCAAATATTTGTTAAATAATTTTATATAATTTTTTTTTTGTAATATTTGTATTACAATTTAAGCAAAAAAGCATGAGTTAGGTCTTCAATATAGGTTAGTTGACTTGGAAAGCCATAGAGAATCGATATAGTACCAAAAATAGATTATAGAAATTGGGTTTCCATTAGTCCCACAGTTAACAGATTCACATTAAAGACTTCGAGATTGACTCCTTAAAATATAAATTTCTCCAAAAAGGGAATTTCTAAAAAAATTAAACAATCTACAACATAGAGTCTATGTCATAGACTGTATTTCTTTGATGGAATCGGCTGAACTTAGTTTAAATCTCTTTTTAAAAATTAGATTTAATTTATAAAAATCGTTTGTTAGACACCTTACATTTTCACTAATTAAAAAAGACAAAACGACATTTCACGTACACAAACACATAATACAAGCCAATCTAATAAGTATTAATTTCAAAAATTTAAATTTTGTTTCTCTTTTTGCCCTAAAAATTTAATATTTCAAGTAAATGTAAGCATCAACAGCAAAAGCTGTTTTCAGCAGATGATTTCTTTGCAGTAGCCCCTATCTATTGAAATTTCTGGCATGCAACATTAAAAATTGATCTATTTTGAAGAATATGCAGTGAAAATTATTTAAATTCTTTAACTATCAAAAAATTGTTTTTGGCCAGAAAACGTGGTTGAATTTTCTATAA